TTCCCGCAAATTCGCTTTAAGTTTGACGTTTCTTTATTGAAAGTGAATCTAATAAATAATTATACGCAGCAACAAAGTGGATTTGGTGTCTTTATTTATTCATTCAGCACTTGAGTCAAAAGGTAAGTCTAATTTATGCTTCTACATTATGGTATAATAGACATTTCTCGGTGATTTTCCACATATTGCATCGATTTCCAATTTATTTCAACCCCAGCAACCGAAAGCAGAAGAGAATATAGTATCAGAGCAGTGAATTTGAACAAATTGAAGGTCAGTTTATATACAGTGCTACAGTGACACATTAAGTGTGGTGTTTTATGATGTATTTTTGTGCAAGAATAACTGCCATTAATACAGTGCTACAGTGAACTGCAGTGAAGTGTTTGATTATATACTTTTGTGCAAGATTCCCTGCCATTAAATTTACACAAGATGGGCAAAGCAGCTATTGGTAATAAACAAATAGCTTTAACCAGTTTTCTGGTAGAAGCCAAACATTTATTCAACAGACCTCATTTAGAATACTTAAATGTTGTCACTTTCTTACAAACCATTTTTCAATTCACAGTGAAACCTCTCAAACCGAATAAGGGTAAGGAGTCTTTCCAGTGATGTGGGCATGTCTGGCATGCTGCAAATATGTAAAGAATAAATAACTACCAGGATGCATGTATGTTTAACTTCTTTTGCACCCTGTGTAGCCATGTAATTAACTCAACGTTTATAATTAAAGAATATTTTTTTAAAAATCACTACTGTACTGGTTAATCCAGGTCACTGACAACAAAAATTAACAACAGGGAGAAAGCCGAGGTTCACTGAATGTGGAAGTCTGCAGAGATTTTCTGACAGGCTTGAAGAATTACGTTTATTTATCAAGTGAATGTAAAAGTCAATCACGTGAGAAAACGAGAGTAGGAACAAACGCATGTGGATGACCGAGGCGTGCACGGGAATTGTATGGAAATAAATTGTATTTATTACAATGGTTGGGTATAGCATTTTACACTTCCTCGTGTTGACAAGCATGTGGATTTACTGCAAAATTCCATATCCTACAAAAATGACTAAATATTGGCAACGGTGGTGGTGGGAAGTGGATGTGCAGTCATTGGTGGATCACCAATTACAGCAACAACAAAAAAACCAAAGTAAATTTGGTTTTACACTGACTATGGCTAACTTACAGGTCTGAGAATAATATTGGTGTGCCAGTCGTGTGTACAAGCAGAGTCACAGCATAATGTGGAAAAGTGCGACTCCAATTTGCAAAGGATAAAATGTGCCCATTTGATGGATTTCTTTGGGAAAAATCCTTTGAAAAACTCTTCTGCAGGCGTTCTCTGACAACTGATCTGCGAGAGTTCAATATAGATTATTTATCTCATGGTAAGATGTTGTTAATAAACTTGAAATACATTTTCAGAAAAATAACAACATAACGAGCTACAGGTAAATTAAATTAGGTTGATTGACCTGAAACCTACAAGGAAATGAATAATTAGAGTTGTATTGCGTGGAGTTATCCAGATCCAGAGAATCCAAAACAGCAAATGCGACTCTCTAAGTCAGAGGATTAACATTTCTTATTTGATAACTTATTGGGGCCGAATGCACGCGTTGGCAAAGGTCCTTTTCTGTTCGATTGGCGGTGAAAAAGTGCCGAGTTCTCCATTGCAATGGGGAAAAACCACCAAAGTAATGCCGGCTGACTTTTCCCTGACCTAAACAGACTTCTTGATATGACAATATAAGAACATGCAGTAAATGGGGATATTTTCAAAAGTAAGTTATTATAAGTAAAGAATCTCGTTCAAAAGCACTCACCATAAATCTAGAGTCTTCCAGATGGCTCATTTCCTTTAAATGTACTTCAAGTTTTATAGTAACCAATGTGTCCATTTGTAAGTGTTGTTGTTGTGTTAAGTTTGCGTGTGTTTTTGTGCATGAAAAATATTGCATTGAAATTCATGCACTACTGTCCCCATTTTCTCAATAAGAAGCAATTAAAATTCCTATCACGTTCACCGAGTCCTCAACTTACAGGACAAAGCATATACCAACATAAGTACGTACCTGGCTCTGTGCTGGGGAGCAGTCATTGCAAAATACTTTATTTGTTGATACGAAGAAAATGTGGAGTGCTTTTTTAAGTTTTGTGTTTTTGGAATAAAGACAATGTTTTGAATTACAAAGCCATTTCCCAAACATACATTTGGAACTTATGTAGGGGAAAAGAGATAAGGTCCTTCTCTGACCCAAGAAAAATAATGACCAGTAAGTTCCCCCAAAACCTCAATACGCATGAGCTGCTAAAACATGTAAAACAATGTCAATGTTGACTAAACTTTCAAAACATTAAATGGCAGAGGCTTCCACTCAGCCATCTCACCATAACGTTGCGATTATCTGAAATGGACCTGGTACCAATTAGTATAGTTTAGGAGGCATTCATATATACAGACACTGCACGTGTAATTTATGTTTCGTGCACACATCTTCCTAACCTGTCTTAATGGTGGCACGATCACATAAACCACAGTGCCCCAGCAGACTGCAATTTACTGCAGTTCAGTTAACCACTCCGGTTTCGGAAACACTGCACAGTTGAACTTGTGGACTTTTGGCTGTGCCGTGATTGTTACAGAAAGTGCCTCATTCACCCCTCACATTATTTATAGAATGCTGAGTGCATACAAATCTCCACCTGTATCTCTGCGCTACAAATCAGGAAGCCGGACGCTTGGTTTCTTTGTCTTGCATGAGGGGGGGGCCTTCTCAGGGAAACGTTTTTTTAAATAAAATGCTATCCTTCACCGTTAAATAATTGCATATCTAGATGTATTTTAAATTAGAAACATGTTTGCGTAAAGCCCAAGTTAGAGAATTTTTTTTAAACCTTTGTTTTACACTTTCTGACGGTCCGTGTAGGTTTCACATAAGGATTGCTCTCACCAATAAGAATGCCTATACCAGTATGGTAATGACGCGTTATTGCCAACATCTGTAACAGGTTATATGGCTTTTCATATGCCATTATTGTAATGACGTAATTTTCTCACCATAATTGCCAAACAAATCTGTAACAGCAGGTGACTGTGTGCCATCACCAAGACAACGCTGTGAATTAGATATTACACGTCTGTTGTGCATCCGAGTGAAACTCTTTAAATGAAACATTGCATTTGAATACGTGACAATATCTTATGAAGACAAAGATACTCCATACGCCTCCTCTGCCAAATACTGTGAAGCTGATGTGAAACTGCAATTTTCCTGTACATATATTTGTTACGTACAAGAAAGGCAATGGCAGATGAATAGATCCTGGGCCAACAGTGTGTGTGGCCAAGCGTTGATGAGGTTATTGCAAAACCCTGCATGTTCTCAGCAAAAACACTTCAAGTGAATACGCAAGAGAGGGGAACTGTGCTGTGTGTGTGTGAAGTTTCTGCTTGCCGTGTATGTGCGTGGGGAAGTGACCCAGCGGATAGCACACCGCAGTATGATTCCCACAGGTTTGTGTCCGGGCCATGGATAACACAAATAAGCAAGACATATCTGAACCTGTCCTGGATTTCCCTGAAGTGAACTCAGCTTGAAATTAGTACCTGGTACAGCATCATGTGAATATAAGCACTGGGGAGACAAAGGTGACCAGATATGGTGTTAGCCACACTGACCCATCAGTTTAACACGTAGCAGGCTTTCGCGACCAATATTATTCATAATCAACGTTTTTGGGTTTAGATCGCGTTATTTATAAATGTGTCGTAACCCTCCACCACCCGACACGGCCAATCAGTAAAAAAGTGTCACGTTGACAAAGGACAATTAGTTCACTGCTTTAGCCCACCGGTGTGTTGAAGCGTGAAACCACAACATTTACAATTTGAGTACGACGTTTCGCTGGTAATTGCATCCAGCATCATCGGGCAATTCGCCCGATGATGCTGGATGCAATTACCAGCGAAACGTCGTCATCGGGCAATTCGCCCGATGATGCTGGATGCAATTACCAGCGAAACGTCGTACTCAAATTGTAAATGTTGTGGTTTCACGCTTCAACACACCGGTGGGCTAGAGCAGTGAACTAATTGTCCTTTGTCAACGTGACACTTTTTTACTGATTGGCCGTGTCGGGTGGTGGAGGGTTACGACACATTTATAAATAACGTGATCTAAACTCAAACACTAACCCATGTCTACAATGCTGGTTTCACGAACGGTAATTGCCTCACCAGTCTATATGGTCAAAAGGGGAGATGTTCGTTTTTGTTGTGTGTGTGTCTGTACGTATGTGTGGGGGGCGGTGACGCAGTGGTTAGCATGCTGCGCGACAAACACGGTGACCAGAGTTTGATTCCCGCTCAGCACCAATAACAGTGGCAAATATTTTAACTGGTCCTGGGCCTCCCCTATGTCGATTCAGCCTCAAATTAGTACCTGGTGTAGTGTGTAATCATCACCACTCGGGAGACAAAGGTGGCGAGGTTTGGTGCTGGCCATCCACCCCCTCGTGTGCTATGCCAGCCTTCATAGGTGCTCAATAACGGAACTTGCTCCAACTGTCTGTTAATGCTATAATATGGGGGATCGTTGTATTAAGTGCTTATTAAAAGCACTTGTCTCTTGAGCATAATAGCTCTTTTCTACTGGAGGTTGTTTTTCCACCGATGTCACACCTGACTTGCATCTGATGTAAGCTTCACGTGTTCAAATATACAGACACAAGTTATTAACCCTGCCCCTGTCCCTGCTTCACCCAGAGCCAGATTCAAATGTCTTCGGAGGACAGTGTCACATTTTGGTTTTGGCTAGGCTTGGCAAAATCACCATTGGAGAACCGCACATGACGTCAGGGCCCCACACCGGCGCGGCTTGCACATGCTGGTGGAAAAGTGGGATAAAAGGCTAATTTTGGGATATTTTACATTTGTAGCAGATATGTGAGACGTGTATGGGTGGGGGAATGGGTGCGTGCATGCAGGCCTGACCGTCATGCTCGCGATGCCACTCCATGGTCTGGTAGTAGCTGTGCATCACCTCCCAGAGCGCCTTGCACAGGTCCGTCATGCAGGGGATGTAGCTGTCCACGGTCACGTGCTGCAAGCAAAGCCCAAAGTGCCGTCAGCTAGGACCAAAATCATGGTAATTACATTTCCAGATTCTCTAAAGACAATATACATCAAAACCGAAAGTCAATTTTGCAATGCCATCATCCGTGAGAGGTAAATTAAATGAATAATATATAAATATTTAAGAGATTATCTGTATTGCTGAAATGTTATGAATCATTAATACAGAACTGTATAGTAAAATAACTTGATTTAGAGTCCTTCCTACATTTCATATATGTACTTAGGAATACTACCAAACTCGAATTTGAAGATAGCAGCAAGTTTCCCCATACTATGACTTCAAAAGTTTGATGTCTATATTACTGTTATTTGTGCACCGATTTATTCCGTTGTATTTGTGTTTTGTAATTTAAAAAAAATTCAGTTTTTATATTAACCCAGATACCTTGCTGATGTGGTTGTTTGGCCTCTATATGTAATGCCATAATTTACGTCTACAGTATATAGATTGATAATAGGTTATTCCTCTTTTTTCTGGCAACAAAACAGGTTTTATATTTGTATTTTATTATTTCCCTTCTACGTGACTTTACCGAAAGAACCAAGCATATGAATCCATGCAGTCACGAAAGCCTTAAATCAAAATTTAACAAAACAGGTGTTAAGATATTAAAACATCAAACTGAAACCTTTTTACAAGGAATCATGTCTGCATTAACCACAATGCTTGTGGTCAGAATGCAAACAAAAAAACACTCTGATAGTATATGCATTGTCCTTGAAACTGATTGGTCCACACCAGAGACAGCTTTCTTTGGAGCCTAGTCTCAAACGGTGTTAGACCAGAGGACGCCAAAAGGCATTTTTTTACTACAGAAAAATGCTTGTGTCAATTTTCTGGAAGGTCGTACCCATCACCATTCATGTGTAGTACATCTTATTATATTATTCCATCAATTCAAGCCCGAAGAATACTGGAAACATTTAGTTTTTTTACTTTATATACATACAGAGGTGCATCACTTTAGTGTGAAATTGGCTATTCTTATTCTTGGATCTTTTGGTAAAGTCACGGAGAAGGGAAATAATAAAATAATAAAAAATACAACATGATAAAAAAATGTATTATAAAATAATGAAAATAAAACATAATCAAATGTTGTATTATGTTTTATTTTGATTATTTTATTATTTCCCTTCTACGTGACTTTACCGAAAGATCCAACAATATGAATCCCTGCAGTCACGAAAGCTTTAAATCGAAATTTGGCTATTCTTGCCGAAGCCCCATCCTGAATGTTTTTTTTCTCACAGTTGCTAGACAGGAGGCGATGGGTGTACTTAGAGACTTACATAAGGGTGGTTACCGAGTAGCCACAGCACTCTCACACACTGCCCTACTTTGGGAATTGTCAAAAGACAAATGATTTGGGTTTCCTGGCTCTCGCTATGCTCAGCCTGGCAAAACACTACCAACACGTGTCAGTCTCGCATCTTCGGGCTGAAAAATTGGCTAAGGCACAAAGAGAAGTAAATATTCCCAAGCCCAGTGTGGGGGCTTACAATCTAGCTGAGTGGCACTACGGTTTATAGCACAGGAAGGTTGGAATTTACTCGCATGGTTATGATTGAGCCCAGCCTATTATCACTTCAGCGCTCAAAAAAATTGCTCTAACCCTGAGGAAAGTCAACAAGTAATTGTCATCGAGAGAGACTGGCCTCCATCAGAAGCATGGGAATTTCCGTACTCACTCTGGGCCGCCAACGGAGAGATGAGCACTGTCCCATTGCTTAGATCAGCGGGGAGACACTTAGGGTTGACTTTGACATTGAGTCTGAGCGCAGCCCAGTCTGATTGTCATCTCCCCTTCAGCGTGCCACCCCGCTGTCTCTGCACTTTTATACGTCACAAACCAAAAGCGTCAGTTTGAGGAAACTTAAAACCCATGAATCAACCCAGGAATGTTGTAGACCATGTTTAAAATAATGGCAACTATTTGTACGTCACGATTGCAGACGTCACAGATGGTATAACTGCACACGGAATGTTGGAAGATGCCACTACACCAATACCATATGCAAACATGCAAATGTTATCACACATGCCCATATTAAAGATGGAAGCCATTTGGTGGGTGGCCAATAACCCACATTACAAAAACCCCCATACAGAGCTAAACAAATGAGAGTTGTGGCACTGTGTATCGGCCCTTACTCTTTCAAAAGCACTGTCATAAGTACTGAAAATTGATGCAGGTGGTGCTAACATAAAACTGCTGGATAATAATAATAATAGGAATGTTTCCTTCCATTTTTTTTAACACAGGAAGTTAAATCTTATCAAGGTACAAAGGATTTTCAGTGAATGTATTCCAATGCAACAATGAGAAGACAAACAAATTATCGATACAGTTGAATGAATTCTACAGTCACATCAACTTGGCAATTGTTTAAACTTCATTGAACCTCCCCCATAAAACAAATTCGCAATTCATAATTACATACAAATTGTTTAGAAATGAATTCACCGCACTTTTGCGTGTAACACAAGATAATAACGTCTTACACAAACAATGAATTCATTAACTAATGCGCGAATAAACAATTGGGCACTGAGCGAATTTCACTCAAGCCTGAGGGCTATAAATCAGCTGAGAAGTGGTCTGCATTGGACGCCATCCTATCGTCGCTATCTGGGCCCCCTGCACCACGGCCAGAGCCAGGAAGGAAGCAGACATAATGCTGTCCTGCCCAGCCGCCCCCCTCCATCCGTCCATTGTCCGCACTTCTAAACAGTGGAGTACGAGTCACGGGCGCACCGCTCGCTATCACGCTTACCATCGCGCACACACAGACTCACACACACACACACAGGTTATTTTTTGCAGACAGCTTGTGGAAGTGGAGTCACTTGAAAATGAGTGCTCGCATGCTATTGTATGTCTCATGCCAGTGCGAGGTAAGGCTCAATGGCATGCCACAGACAAAGACACGGGTGAATACTAGAACCAAATAATCCCCAATCACTTTCACAATTTACTTCCGTATTCGGACTTCAATTCACACTAGTCAATGATATCTTACTCATAAACTAACGAGGTGTGGGACTATTCAATTAGAGTATGTTTCTATTTTATTTTAACAGTGTATGCGGGTATATGCTCAAGCAAAAACACCGCCTGCGCCGCCTTTTGCTACTGCTCTAGCTGCAGAGGTGCTACCGGTGTAAATGTTCTAAAGGATGCATCAAAGCTGTGGCCATCGACTGACACAGCAAAATAAAGTGGCTCGCAGATAAAACAGCTTTAACACCCCGAGTGGGAAGGTTACCGACTTCATTCTAACCATACTACCGATCTGATACATCAAAGATTTTTCAAGTATGTTAAGGGCCAGGTGGTCATTTCAAACCATTCCATCCTAACGAAGTAAAATGTATATGAATATATTGAGCTAGCCTTTTGCTCGTCCAAGGACGGGTGTATTTCAGTAAATCTGAAACTTGCAAGCGAAAAGCAGACCGCGATGTGATATTAATTGCATAAATTGGTGTGCAATTTGTAAGGGCGCGGTGACACAGACCTATTTTCATTTTAAGGTTATAATCCCTTGTTCATCATGACGTCCTTTTTACTTTGATGTCTCAACAGCGTTACGGAGATCGCGTGACGTGAGGGTTCTGCCTCTGTAGTGAGGGTTGTGAGTTGACGCTGAGGAGGGGGGAGGAGGCACCTCGCCTCCCCCATGTGCAGTGACGTCACCTAATTATTATTAATGGGGGGGGGGGGTGTCCATTTGGAAGACGTCACCTCTTCATGATTATTAATGAGGGGGGGTTGGCCTTACGTGGAGTAACGTCACGCACGAGACACGCAGACATTCTTGGCTCATGATAGTATTTTAGTCGTAAATACATTCATACACTCCAATGGGAGGTCACTCGAATTCAGAACTCAATTAATTTGACAAGAGTTTAAGCATGTATGTTATTTGTCCATGTTTAGTTCTGAATAACATAAAGCTTAGCCGAGTTGGACAGCCAGTGCTAAGATGCAAACACATCCATGTAGGTACGTTGCCTGTCTCCAACATTCTACAGCAGGGATCCTTTCAAGGTTTGAATGTGTGTCGTGATATGGGAAATCGGTGACTTGTCTTGAAGAACTCTATGAGTTACGTGAATTAAGTATTGTTCAAACAAGCATTAGCAAAACACCCTCATTTATTTTGGAAAGGTTAGTAGGAAAAAAATGTGTCTGCTTGTTATACTTTTTCAAAGGTCACTCCTTCGCTCACGCATATGCAGTGCTCCCATGTAGTTACTGCCATCTGTTGGACATCTCACTAATGAGGCCATTAAAAAAATTGGGAAATTAAGCTTTAGTGATTTAAGTTGGTGACAGCCAACCGTAACAAAATTTCACTTCCAATAAAAAGGTGAGCTCGTTGTTGTCCTTCGCCCGCACCTACGATTAGCACGGATGGCTACATACGGTGCGAGAGGAGTTCAACATACATACAATAATGTTTCATGAGGTAAATGTTAGTCTTTAAAAAAAATGTTAGGCAAACAATGGCCAAAACTGGGCAATCTATTGAGGCTAGCTACTGCCAAGTGAATTTAGAATTTCCACTTGAGGCTTGGGGCCATCAATAGAGCCACCACATATGAGTTCGAGTTTAGAAAAAAATCAATCTTGCGAACGATGCTAAGGCAGTTTTCCCCAAATCAATAAGACATCCAGCTACATTTTATTCCAAGGCACAAGTCAAAAGTTCACTTCACTTCCAGAGTACCTATTCAAATAGCACACTATATGGATGTGAAATTCAGCCACAAAGAACAATGATCCTGCTCATCGCCGCCGTGTTGGCTTTGGCAGACTCCGCGCTCACCAACCCATGACTCAAAACACACAAAGGACACTGCTGCAGTTCAAAGTGCTTTAACATTACTATAAAATCAAGAAACAGCAGAGCAGGACCAATCATTCATTCATTAAGGGGCTAACAACAAACAGATGATTGCCTGTTTTCGCATGAGTATTACGTTTCGAACAGGGCAGTATTTTAATGTACAATCAATTATATCCCTGAATGTTTTTCAATAGTTTCAACAAAAAGAAAAAAGAAAGAAAACCCTCCTTATTTTCAAAAGGTCTCATGTGCATTAAATACGTAACACACTCAGTGGTAGCATATGGGAACAATTTAAGATAATTAAAAAAGAATACACGTCAATAGAAGGCTGCCATTCATTACATCCATTGTTGTAAAGCTTCAAGTTCATTGCATAAACTGAATCCATATGTACCTACCAGCATCTACTCTTTTACATACACATGTTTAATATATACATACACATATTATACACAAAGACCCCCTTTGAGCCTAGGTAGCCGACTGGGGAACGTGCTGTTCTAAAGCACCGTACTAAAGCTTGACAAAACACATGTTTGGGTAGTATGGCCGGCATTTACCTCTATGGCGGTTACGTCAGTCACAACATACCTACAAGGCCCAGATGACCAGTCCTGGCTGTGAACAACACATCAGGGGCCCGAGTAAGCAAATAATCCCTCCACTCGCCGTACCACTGCTCACACGGACACGTACCGAGCACAGGTCCTTGTACTGCAGCTTGTGGAAGCGAGTGTCCGCGCCGGAAGCACACAACTCCACGTAGCCAAGCACCACTTGAAAGGCTGTGTTGTGGATGGCCTGCGTGAAGTGCATGTGCATCTGGTCCATGGCAGTCTGTACACGTTCAAAAGCAACAGACACAAAGTCAGTGTTTAGACACTATGGGCCGTACATTAAAACTAGTGCATTTTGAATTAACCTGAATTGCCGTGGACACGTTTGTGAGAGCACTCGAATCGGCAGATGCGATGCGAGTTCTTGGGTCTTCAAAATTTCATTGAGACATGTGCAAAGGCCTATGGCCAAATCACCCAGCATGCACCTGACCTCATTAGATCTCGGTAGCTAAGCAAAGTTGAGGCAGAATTGTGCTTGGATGAACGACCGCTCCATGCATAAAACAGATGTCGCAGGGTGCTGTGGCACAGTGAAAACGGCGCACTGAGATTCCCGGATGAATTGTGCTTCATAAATGTGAATGATATAATAAAAATGTCCCAAATTAGTATCACTATGACACAATAAGGTTAGCACTTACACTAATTAAGATATTGCCGCTTTATATAGGACAACTAATTGATTTGGTAAAGGTGAAAACAAAACCTTATTTTTAAGAATGTGTAGGTTCAATACAATGACTTATTGAAATTACTAATATCAATTAAGAAGCGTTATTGTGATAACCACTGTAATGTATTCATATATGTACATTTAATCAATGAGGGAGACTTTTGAGATACATTAGGTTTTTATTTAAATGTTACTTTCCATAAGTGGTCAAAATCTGTCAACAAGAGTAATGGATGGGAGGGAGAAGTAGTTTTATTTTCCCTTCAAATATAGTTGTAGATTATTTTTCAGGTTCAGATTTGGGCCAAAGATGCCAGACCACAATCATCTCCTTTTGCACACAAAGTATACAGGATATGGTGTGAAAGAAGTTCAACATATATACATGAATTCCGTTTTAAAGCAGATGGCATGAAATGCATTGGAACATTTTTAACAGACATCACCACGCGGAGGCAGAAATCGATGTGTGAATTTACAGGTAATATGGCAAGTGAACCGCGCATTTATCAGTCCTAATTATTGCCAAGTAAACCATTGCAATTACGAGACAGCTCTCATGTGCCTGCACATCAAGCTAACCTGCGTCTTGTCCAGCAGTCGGTACGCCGTCTGCACCTTGGTATAGTGCACGACATCGAACAGCTTGCACGTCTTGGCCAATGCCACGTCCAGCTGTTCCTGTACACAAGCAACACAATCACATGGAATCAATCGTCACCTGCATTCAGGCTCAGCAACCAGCACAACTAACCTAACCCTGGGCGATGAAGGACATACAAGACCTCTACACATTTTCTGCATATAAGAGTAAAATGCTGGTTTAATAAAGAGAAGTGACAATTATACAGTTTGACTGATGAACTGTGTTACGGCTTGTCTGTGGTGCCGGCTTGTATTACTGTACGGTTGTTTGGCCTGTCTCTCGAATTTTCTTCTTGCATGGTTGTTTGACTGTGTGTCTATCTGTTCTCACCATCTGCTTCTTTCCCAGAGTGGGTCACCTTTGTCACTGCATTCTTGTTTGGAATTGTGGTGGTTATTGTCTCGCTGTCTGCTTATATTATTTGGCTGAGTATCTGCCATTGCCTCACTTTCAGCTTCTTTGGTTGCACAGCTACCTCACTTTTTTTCATTACAAGTCCAAATTGTAGATGGTGCAATGAGATCCTTGGAGGTTTTTCACTGATTAATGCGCTACTCACCTCCAAAAATAATGGGATCTAGGAAATGGCGTGAAACACCACCCTCGAAGGGTTGCTGTGAATAGCCGCAATTCTCACCTGAACCATTTTTAACCCTTTTGGATCGAGTCCAGAAGCAGCCGCTGCATTTCAGCCACGTGATAATGGGGCCATACGGTCTGGGAGTGAGTCGAGGAGGCATGAACCGTGTGTCGTGAGCTGTCTGCAGGGCACCGCAGCTGCACTTCCGAGTGTAACACCATTACCTCAATTTGCTCCAAGGTGTCCTGAAGCTTTGAATTGAGTTCACTGAAATAGAATTTTAATTAAAAATCACAGTTAATAAGCATTAACTTACCAAAAGAAGTTTTTGCATGATAATTAAAGCATTCTGATGGGACTAGCAATTGTAAATCCAGCCGTAAATAAAGTATGGGGTTACCATGGCATAAAAAATGTCACTGACATTGTAATAATAATGGCATTTAATTTCAATGTTAATCTTTAATGGCAATGACAATAGACAACCACTCCGACGACTATTCTCCTGCTGCTACCAAAATAACAATTGCTCATGCATTAAACATGAGATATATACTGCATTAAATCACATTCTAGTACATAAACTACCCACAAATAAAATGTACAGGTAGTCCTCTACTTACGATGGAGATGCGTTACGACGACCCCATCGTAAGTCAAAAATAGCATAAGTCGAAGATGGCCAAGCCTACCCAGGAGTCTTAAAGAATGGTGATAATTTAGCAAAACAAAGCAATTTACAGTACAGTACTGTATAAACTAGAAACTGTATGTATTTATTAATTACAATACTGTATTGCACAGCGTCCCAACGTACAGTATCGTACCTTGTACGCTGCTGCGTTTGCCTGCCGCGCGAAATTTAAAATATTTAACAATTTTGTCGTATCGCCATCGTAAGATCGAAATATCGTAAGTCGGACCATCGTAACTCGGGGACTATCTGTAGTGACATGCATAATTAACGGAAATGTTCTACAAAGTTCACTCATTGTTTATCATATATTCATAGGGGTTCAACAGAAAGATATATTGTAGGCTATCACAGGAATGAGTGTCAGATTGCAAACATCGCCACTTGAGAGGCCAAGGCGGTCAGGCATGGTATCAGCTCTACCTTCATAGGTGCTCGCGAACAGCACTTGCCCCAAAAGTCAGTTAAGGCTCCAACAGGGATCTTTGACTTTGTGATTGATGAAACCATCTGGTGTGGTGCTGCACATATTTGCCTACTAGCTACAAAGAATCGATTGCAATCCTCACTTGAATGGTTTATCTTGGTTGCATGCTAACTCACTGAAGGTTTGCAGCCTACAAAAGCTCACAATGGTGGGGATACCGCACCCCCTGCTGGGCATATGGGGAACTAGTTTAACAGACGAATACAGGACTTTTTAAGAAGGGATTCGCAGCTACTCATATCAATTGCGAGGTGCAAAACAGAACTTATATTATTAGTTGTGGCTCATTCAAACTACAGATGTTACACCTAACCTCTTATATCCTGGTTTGGGGCTTTGCCAACGCCTCTGGGAGTTTGAATATAAGAGTTCCAAGTGATATATGGGGACACTTCCGACGAATTTAGTCTTAATTCCAGATTTGAAGTTTTCGTGACTGCAAGGATCCATACTCTTTGGTTCTTTCAGTAGTCACGTAGGTGAAAATTTTATAAAAAATAACTAAATCACTACGTTTCGGAGGCAATACAAGCTTCCGTCATCAGGTGGGACAATCACAGCAAAAAAAAAAAAAATCACCTACGTGACTTTACCGAAAGAACCAAAGAGTATGAATATAGCCTTTCCAGCAAAGAACTGCACAGCTCATTAAGGGTTCAGAACAACCACAGTTGAGACATAGGATTACGTAAAATGTATGCGACATGTTAATTAATGGAATTAATGGAATTAATTAACATGTGTACATTAACATGTTGCACGCATTTAAGAAAACCACTTTTTAGTCACCTTAAAGCACAAGCTTTCATAGCTACTACAATGATCCATATTTGTTTTTTGGGTTAGGTCATATCATGCTTTCATGTCACTTCTAAGTCATGTTTAAAATTGCAACAACAACAAAAACGAATACAAAAGCAGCTCTCAAAACAAAACCTGCATAAAAAGGTATGTCAACTGACAATCACATCTTGTTTATGGTGTGCCCAACATTTCACAGTAGGTTCAACCAAACTGAAAATAATCATTCATCAAGGACTTAGATCTGTCTTTTAAAAAAAGAATTACTTCAACTTGGCTTGGACAACAATACAACCAATAGAAATACGCAAAAATTAAGTTTCCAAACAAGAGGGCTTCCACACTGGACTGCAGTCACGAAAGCTTTAAATCGAAATTTAACCGCCTCTACGGGGAGGGTTTCCACATAACTTTGAGATCCTTCAACAAGCTCCGTGATAAGAAGGCTCAGCTAATCGAGTCTCTCACCTTTCTGAAGAGATGCCACGACTCTCTCCTAGCTTGGTAGTGTCTCATTCTTCACCTGAAGACGGCTGCTTGCGTTTTGTTTTATTTTTATTATTTTATTACTTCCCTTCTACGTGACTTTACCGAAAGAACCAAGAAGATGAATCCCTGCAGTCACGAAAGCTTTAAATCGAAAAATAGCATGTTGTTTTTTGCATGGACCGTTTTTAAGCCAATCAATATATTTTCAAAAAATCTACCACTTTCTTCAATAAGCTATTGTAAAATAAATGTCAAACTACACTCTCAGAGGATATGTCAATTACTTTAAATAATCAGTGCACTTAATGTATGTAGAGGTCACCTAAACTTGAGTGAAGGGAGTAAATTAGATAATTCTAGATTTGAAGCTTTCGTGACGGCAAGGATTCATATTCTTAGGTTTTTTCGGTAAAGTCACGTAGGTAAAACATCAAAATTAATAAAAATAAAATAAAATAAAGATCACGACGTTTCGGAGGCAACACAAGTCTCCGTCATCAGGTGGGGCCGTCACAGCCAGATTAGCTACATCAAGTGAGGCAATGATTCAAGATGTAATCCCTTAAAAGCGAGTTGAGGGGGAGGAGAGGGGGGGGGAGCTCATCAGAATGTGGTAGCCAATGAATGGCCCCGCCCCCCCCCCTCCCGATACGTTCCATTCATTGGCTACCACATTCTGATGAGCTCCCCCCCCCCTCTCCTCCCCCCTCAACTCGCTTTTAAGGGATTACATCTTGAATCATTGCCTCACTTGATGCAGCTAATCTGGCTGTGACGCTCCCACCTGATGACGGAGACTTGTGTTGCCTCCGAAACGTCGTGATCTTTATTTTAATTTATTTTTATTAATTTTGATGTTTTACCTACGTGACTTTACCGAACAAACCTAAGAATATAAATTAGATAAGGCTGCCAAGCATCAAACATTTGGTAAGAAAATAAGCTAAAAATGCATTGTATTGTTTCTGCATTGTTGAAGGCCAAAATTGAAAACGACAGCATTCCTGAGACATCAATAACTTCAGTTTCACAACTCTCTAAGCGAGTCGCTCAATGCCACCTAGCTTTCATAATGACTTCTGCACAGTTTTGAGTTGAACTCAAGTCGATCTAGGCTGCGTAAGGTAACGGAAAGTCCATCTCAGCCACCACAATCACACGTGGGGAATTCAATTATGACAAACTGTTTTCATAACAAGATGCTGCAAGCTATACGGGTACAAGATATGCAACTGCAAAATAGTATTGGGCAAAAATACTCCACCCAAAATGTCACATTATTTTAAAGCAGCCACTGGTTTCAAGGATTTTCCCACCAACCTCACTGTGGATGTGACTTGTTTGACTTTGCATATTAGCCAGATACATGAACATTATCCCCCCTCGGACCACAAAGCCACTGAATTATTTTTAATTTCAACAACAAAAGTACCCAGTATATTCTAGAAAAAGAATGTCATTGCAAATGGATACTAAAACACCACAAACGGGCTTGGAAAACAACATGTGTTGTCCCGATTTAACCACAACTCAAGCGTATATATTGAAGCCAGATTAAAAACGATGTATGAACACCTGCTGGTTTGTTATAGCTCAGTCTCAGCTTGAAGCATTCAATAAACAAAGGGCACAGTATACATCCAGTGATCACAGATGTTGTAAATGTTTCGTAAAGTACTCTTAGGTTTTTTCGGTAAAGTCACGTAGGTAAAAGAAAAATAATAATAAATGAAAATAAATCAATTAAATCACGACGTTAAATCACGACGTTGCCTAATACCACATCAGAGCACCGAGTCACCACAGCTAACATCCTGGGTTCAAACCCAAGCACACAGCCATTATTAAGTGTAGCAAGTTGACCTCGACCCAGTCACCCTGCCTGTATAAATTCTAGATTTGAAGCTTTCGTGACTGCAAGGATTCATACTCTTAGGTTTTTTTCGGAAAAGTCACGTAGGTAAAAAACGAATGAAATAAAATAATAATAAATGAAAATAAATCAATTAAATCACGACATTTCGGAGGCAACACAAGTCTCCATCTTCAGGTGGGACCGTTACAGGTAATTTACTGTATCAAGTGAGGAGAAATCCAAGAGACAAGATCTTAAATACAAATTAAGGGGAGGGAGGGGCTTATCTAAATGTGGTCGTCAGGGACTGGGACGGTGGGCGGGGCTAGAAGGGAGGGTACAATTGGAGAACCTCAACCGGGGTTACGGCCGAAGTTGGCTGCCAAAATAGCAGTACTGTTAAACGCTGGGGATGTCAACACTCGTAAAGTAACTAATCCTACCAACATATACTCTGTTGTAAGACACCACCGACCTGATGCAAGAGTAGTGGCTGAATGAGCTGACAGCATTCTGGCACTCGAGGCAGAGCTGAATGGCAGCAGGGAAATCTTCTTCCTGCACCAACACAGCAGAGAAAACACTCAGGCAGGGAACCCCTTAGCTCACAGCAGACACAAAAGTCAATCGGCACTCCCCCCAAACTCCACCATCAAGTCTGCAGATGCCTGCAAATAGCTAGACTTGGAGGGTGGGGTAAGGGGAGAATTATGAGTATGATATGCCTCCTGATGCTCCTGCTGTTGTGGAGTGACTCATGCAGCCAGCTATGGCTGCAGGGTTTTGGTAGTACATGTTGTTGGTCTTCTTGGTTCTTTCGGTAAAGTCACGTATGTGACTTTACCGAAAGAACCAAGAAGATGAATCCCTGCAGTCACGAAAGCTTTAAATCGAAATTTAAATGTTGTTTGTCGTTTATTGTGAAAATTCCGTCACAGTTGCCTATTGTAATGTGAGGATATATCCGGGTTGCTGATGGATCACACCTCGTTACGATGATTGGCTCTACCGGTCCTGGCCCATAGCCAATGGGGGGAAGTCTAGGGGCGTGGCCCTGACGTAATGGGAAGGTGACATCTGTAAGTAGAGGATTGGATCTGCTGGCTTTAGCCACAGCCAATGGGGGGACGAGTCAGGGGCGCGGTCCTGGGAACGTACGATGGAGTCTAGAAGATTCCATAGAGGTTAACCAGGATTGGTGGAAAGGTACCACGTGACCCGGGTATTAAAAGGGGTGGAGACGGACAACACGTGGTCAGATCTGGAACGAACGGAGGGTGAGGCCACGCTGGAGCGGGGTCTAGGCTGCCACGTGGCCGCGCGTGTCTCTCTCTCTCCCTCTCACGCTGTCTGTCAGTAGCGTGAAGGAGTAAGATAGGAGTGTTGTGAACGAAAGACAAATAAAGACCGGATTCCAGAAGTCGCTTCCACGATCTTTATTACACTATGATCACTGTTTCATTGCCTTATTATGGTGATTTCGAAAAATTTACTGGTTTGGCCATGTTTGTTTGTTGTAGTACGGAGTGAGACTAATGACCTTAATCTGGGTTGTCTTGTGGTTGTTGTTTGACTTGCATCCCACTGGTATTTTTGCACAGCGTTGGTTTACGGTGTTTTTTCTGCAATGTTTTGCTGTCTTTTCTTGGATTTTCTGTTTGCACTTAGTCAAATATTCACTTTAGGATGTTTTCTTGTTCATGTTTTTGTTTTTTTGTTTGTTTCGGTTGCACCCGATTCAAGAGCCAAATGGCTCACAGGGCTATACCTAATGAACTTGAACTTGAATCATCAGCCATTATCAATACACTGCTGGATGAAGGCCTCCCCATGATGTCACCATCCCAAACAATCTCACAATGACAAATTTCAACTCACTCCTCAGTAATCATCCTCTCTCGTGGATAGATATGTAAAAAAAAAGAGAGGTAAAAACCCCCACAAAAATCAGCGAAAACCACAAACTTATTCTCAGACACATAATCCAATGCCACAGTAGTTACTGGACAGTGCAGTACTCAACTGGGAATGACTGGCACATGAAGACACTGCTAATGGGTCACCATTGCATTGCATACTGTTTTGTTCTTAATGACTGTAATAAAAACAATAGGTGTAATCTTGATTTGAAGCTTTCGTGACTGCAGGAATCCATACTCTTTGGTTCTTTCGGTAAAGTCACGTAGGTATAAAATAAAATAAATCACGACATTTCGGGCACAACACAAGCGTCCATCATCAGGTGGGAAAGCATGGTCTGCTGCTGAGGCAGACTGTTTTAAAAGGTTTGAAATGGGTGTAGCCCAAGGGTTATAAAGAAGTGGCAAAATAGGTGTCTCTCCAAAATATCCCGTTATCTCCAGGACACGATGTAGGCCTACGTTCTAGCAAGGACACGCACAGTTGAGCAACATTACCACGTTCTCCACTAAGTGGTGGTGATGTCACTACAGTACCTTTATAAGGCAATGTCTACTTTGAGACCATAGGAAGGGGCGAAGAACGTCATGGGGCCACACCGAGACGTAATGGGTTAATAGATCAGGGTGAGAGGCAGGCAAAGACTCCTACATTCCCACTATTTAATTTGGTGTATTCTGAACATACATACATACATGCTTAGTGTGAACAACCGTGCATTTGTGCATGAATAAACACGTGACAAAAATGCAATGGCTTAACCAGTCTTGGAGATTAAAAGCACTCACCTCTAGCATCTCGCTCAGTCGCACATCTGTCCTTTGCTGCAACACAACACAGCAGGTGCAATCGATCAATACAAATGCATCGCAGCCTGGTGTAATAATAAGACAACACTGTACCCTTGTCGATGAACACAATTAGTTTTAAACTGTCAATTTTACACACCAGCGTCTTGATGGTACGCAAGGACTTCAGTAGGCCGATGAGGAGCTGGCGCTTGCGCTGGTTGGCGAGCAGGCCAAGGCTGGCAGCTGTGAAGCCTTGCTGGGCAACCCCCAGCTGCCTGCATGCACCAGGAAATGTGAGCAGCGCTTCAGAGGGTTCTCATAAGCCAGCACTGCCATAAGCTAGGCACCTGGGAACATGTGCCCCTACGCCAGCATTTAACGGTGCTCACTTAACATCGTATTTATAAGCATGTAAAACACAAACACAAAACCGTAATTCTTCTTGGCTCAGTATGTCCAACCACGAACAAATGTTTCGTGAACGAATGAGTCCCATGATTGCATTGTTCAGCGTATTTTGATTACACCGCAAAAGATCCACGGCACGTAAATCAATGTCTTTTTATAGTGCGGTCACCATAAAACCAGTACAAAAACATAATTCAGAAAATATTTTTTTAAAGCATGAAAAGAAAGAAGCATCTAAGGGAATGGTATTACAATGAGGGGCATGTTATATGTATGGATGACTTATGAATATAATTACTACCCAAAACAAATAACACATATATGCACGTGGATAGAGTGGATGTGTGTCTGTTATAATTAATGACAGACAGGGCAGACTGGTGCCTTCTGGATTGAAAAGGAACAAACAAAAGGCTATCGCAGCATGTGGGCATCAATAGAAGGAATTATCTCTTATCGGAGGGAAATGTAGCAAAACATCGAGCAAGACATAACATTGCACGTAAATAACATCTAAATACTCTTTGGTTCTTTCGGTAAAGTCACGTAGGTATAAAATAAATAAAATCACGACGTTTCGATTGCAACACAAGCAATCATCATCAGGTGGGAAAACGACAGCAAGAATTTTTTTTGCTGAAGTGGGAGAGAGAAAAATTTACCCGTAAAAACAAAGTTTTTCACTATAAATCCTTTATATGCGTGGCGGCTAGAGTCCTCTCGTCCTCTGGCTTGAGATGGCTGCCACCTATGGGTCAGATGATTGTCTGCCACCATTAAGCAATTGGTAATTAAATATTTTAAAAAATTCCCTAAACAGTGTAAAATTTTGGAAAAAAATTTTCACGAAAATTAATTGTCACGCACAACGAGTCTGTGTGCAAAATGTCAGCTCGATTGGATCACGGGAAGTGGGTTAAAAAACGACCGAAAGATTTGCACCGGTCGTAAGCAAGCAAGCAAGCACGCAAGCAAGTGAACTTAATATAAAGCATTTAAAAAAACTAATTATTGTTGTGGTTTTCCCACCTGATGATGATTGCTTGTGTTGCAATCGAAATGTCGTGATTTATTTTATTTTATACCCACGTGACTTTACCGAAAGAACTAAAGAGTATGGATCCCTGCAGTCACGGAAACTTCAGCATCTTAATGTGTGAAAACATTCTTAGATGTGCATCATCAAGGCGTTTGGTCCATAACAGCAATGCAAAATGCAAGTTCTGACCTGCATAGTGGCATAATGGTGGTGGGAGATTGGCTCCGGTCAAATGCTGGCCCAACATTTTACAAGTAACATAAAGTGCTGAAAGTACTGTTATATATACCATTTAGGACACTTAATGAAGGCAGACTGGGATCAGTGTTAAGGTAAAAAGGGGCACATCTATTCCCATGCTATTGGCAGATGCAGAATATTTCAAACAATTATAAGAACACTTATTTTTATAACTTGCTACTGTTTGAAATTCATAAGTTACATTTTTAATCTAAAGTCACTCTCATGCCTTATTTATCATCCAAAGATTGCTTACCTGCCAGATGAACAATGTTTTCTGGTGTTGTTCTCTTATCAACTAAACAAATCCTGCGATGACTACCTTAGGTAAACATCGATCGCTTTAAGATTAGGGATTTACATCTCAGTGGCCTCTAATTAGGTTCTAAATATATACATTATCCATTTCACAAATTATAACAGCGGTTTGAAGTGTTTCCCCTAAAAAAGTAAAAATGTGCTCCTAAGAATCCCTTCTGTAAACGTGGTGTCATTTTAAAATACAAAACTGTAATATAAATAATACTTTTTTATTAATCCTGCATAATGCACATGCATATGTAGTACTAATCACATTCCTGCATTTCCCATAAATATGCTAAATTCCTCTTGATATGCAAATCCCTTTGTCAAGGCGCCCAGCTTATATATATGCTCCAAGCTCGTGTGCTGTTTCATTCAGACTCTATCGCCTCGACGGACCTGGTTTTCACCTGAGGACGGCTGCTTGCGTTGTGGCCGAATAATTTTATTATGTTTTATTTTTATTATTTTATTACTTCCCTTCTACGTGACTTTACCGAAAGAATCAAGAAGATAAATAATACTGTGACACCTATTAACATTTAAAACAAGTATATGATCTATTAACAGCTAAATGAGGCAAGATCCACAAGAAGATGACCACTGAGAAGATGGAGCAATGAGATCAGCTGTTGTACAGGAAGTGGATGGAATATTAATAAGTAATATTTCAAAATACTTTTTAAAAACACGCTTTAATGAAATGTACTGTCCGAGTAATGGCAGAACTCCACGACTCCAGGAAGTGGCCCCGAAGCTTGCCATAACATAAGAGGCCGTGGTGATTTACAGCCAACGTGAGTTGAGCGTGGACAATTAGACCCAAGCCGAAACATAAGATATAAAAAAGATTGCTTAAAAATATATATATTATTTTTACTGATGTAATATAGTATTGTCATCAGTATGACACACGTATACCAAGTTTGCAGTCGATACGACATTGGGAAGTGGGTTAAAATTGAGTTACAAGATTTGAGGATACGACAACAGACAGAGTTGAGGATACAACAGAGTGAGTTAAATAAAATAGCGTGTAAAATATAAGTCTGTAAAAGATGGCGATGGTTTAGGGAGCCCTTTATCCAGCAGCAAACAGATCATGGCTAATTATTATGTTGTACCACTCAAAGTAGAAAACAAATTAATCTGAAATAAATGTAAACTTTGCAACAGAAACATGACAAGCATTCACACAAAGATTATTTCAATATTTTGGTTTTGCTGCTTTAAGTGACATTAATTAGCTAATTAAATCCAGCACAGCACATGAGTAGTCTCTAATTACTGTTGATACATTGCACCAAGGACTCATTTGAAGCTGAGGAATTCTAGATGGAGTCGAGATTACTTGGCACTGGTGTGTTTATCCAGCAATCGTCTGCTTAAACTTCAGCTGACCTGGGAGCACTAACACACAACTGCACACATAAATGCTACAATGATACGTACAGGAATTCAAAGATGCCACACACAGACAAACACAGGCGAGTGCACACACGCACCGCGTCAATGTGCAGATACAAAACTCGCGCCAACATTTTGGAGCATCGACCGACCGACAATAGACTCTGGGGGTGTTCTCCTCACTTGCCCAAACTGCAGGAACCGTCTATGGCGAAGGCCGCCACTAAACTCAGATGGGCCCGCTAGTGGGAGCCTGCCTCCCCGTGGATGCATCAAGTGACTTAGCTTCATCGGCTCTATTTGAGAGCCGATGTGCACTTTCACGATGTACAGTACACAATATTACAATTCGAGTCGTTAAGGACAAAGAGGATTGACAAATAGCATAGCATATCCAAATAACAGATAATTTCAGAAACGAAACAGAAATGTGCACGAATACAAAAATATGCACACAAGCACGGATGCATAGAGACCCACACACAAAGATTTGTCCTTTAAACCTTATAAACTGCTGGACAAGTGCCGTTAGAAAAACACCTTTTGGGTTGGCTAAGTAGGCAACGCAATGCCCATTTTATTCAGTTGATTTAATAAGATTCCCTCTTTCGAGATTTAATTAAATGTCGCGATTCAGGATCACGACTTGTTGCCTCATTTATACTCTGGGTCTCATTTGCGGTTTCTGAACAATGTGTCTCATTTGTACTATCTGTGATGTTTCGCTTGTTGTTCTCGTTTGTTGTGTATCGTCTGTTAACCTAAATTACTATAATACAGAAAAAATTAAATATGTTTAAAAACAATTGAAAATTAATTAAATATGCACAATGTAATGAATACATCATGTGCATTGCTGCAGCAGTGTATTGATGAACCAATGAACTTGTATGTGTGTCTAATGATTACACAATGCACTGGGTTACTCATGTAAGGGATGCAAAGCAACAGAAATATTCGCTAACACAAACACACAAGACACAAGCAAATATGTGCATGCACATGTGGAAGCTCTCAAACAGCCTTTCGCCCATATTCTATCTTGAATGTACCGTTGTTTTACTCTTTTTCCAGAGACCGGGACGATTTATCAGATGAAGAGGAGCATTTGGAAAACCTTTGGTGCAGGATAACTTTAATGTTCAGAAATAACCTGAGGCCCATTCATTTTAAGTATCTGCTGAGACTAATGGTAACACACGTCTGTGTCGAACATTTACACCAAATGCAAGTGTAGCTAAGGGAGCGGTGTCAGATTTACTGCTTGAGATTTTTTTTAACTTGAAACTCGAATTCAGTTTACACCAGCTCACGGGAATGTCGAGTGACCTTCACGAGTTTTCTAACCAGAACAGCTGTGCTGTAGCCACATTAAATGTATTCCTTACAATTTCTCAAAAAAAGATGAAAGTGCCTTCAGTAGACTCTCCAGCGAAGGATTCGCCTTTACATCAAAATGTATTGGGGAAAAATAAACCTTTCAAACATGATTCAATCAAATGTGTCTTAGTGCTATTTTATATTTTATTGTGTGTGCTTTGAAACAATATGCACCACGCATGATGTCTTGCATAGGTACTCAAGTACGGAAGAGAATACGGTAATGACGCACTACTTTGAAGGGCATTATACACGTGACAATTTCAGATTCATATAAATAAGAAATGCAGGCATATCTGCTCTCCTGAATCCTAAAAATGAATACAAGAGGAGATTTACAGGCACTCCAGCCGGGGTATTTATACACTTAATACACCCTAAAGCCCACAAAGTTAACAAACAATAAACCAACTATTGCCAAAAGAATCACAGCTTCTGCTGCCTTTTTAAATCCTTTATATTAAGTTCACTTGCTTGCTTGCGCGCTTACGACCGTGCAAATCTTTCGGTCGTTTTTCAACCCACTTCCCGTGATCCAATCGAGCTGACATTTTGCACACAGACTCGTTGTGCGTGACAATTTATTTTCGTGAAAATTTTTTCCAAAATTTTCCACTTTTTAGGAAAAAAAAAATTCATATTTAATTTAAAATACCAATGTGATAAAAATGAAACTCTTACTCAAGAAAAACAGAAATGAATAATAAAATAAAACCGATGCCACGCATATAAAGGATTTATAGTGAAAAACTTTGTTTTTACGGGTACATTTTTTTATTATTTTCAAGCAAGGTTGACGACAGCATCTGTGCATTACCTCTGACCATCCGTTATGGGAAGGGGGGAGGCAATATTAATTTTGTAAAGACTAAAAGCCGGCTTACTCTGAATACTGGCTTACTCTCATCCGGCTTCATGAGCTTTTGCTCGATAAAGTTGTGTTGCTACAAGGGACTTTTGACCGGTTATCCAAAACTTGGTAACACTAACCAGAGTACAAAGGACAAATACAAATGTATTTTGCTGCAACGGCTACCCGTAGATTTATCGTATTGCTCATTCCATACTTCCGAAGACAAGGGCGCGTTGAAAAATGTGATGCAGTTGATGCCCAAGCATATTTGTCTAATCTTGATTTGAAGCTTTCGTGACTGCAGGAATCCATATATTAAAGTAGCAACACTTTACAGAAGAACATGGCAATGTAAACAACTTAGACAAATATACTCTTTGGTTCTTTCGGTAAAGTCATGTAGGTATAAAATATACATTACCATGTTCTTCTGTAAAGTGTTGCTACTTTAATATAATGCTGAATAACATCTTCTTCACCACAACAAAGCCTAATTCCAAGCTGTGCTCAGACATATCAATTGCTTTCTTAACTTGGCAGATGTTATTTGTGCTGGATATGAATATATATACAGTATTGTGTAGTACATGCACACAGGGAAAATACAAGTATTTTGCATAATTGGGCAGCCTATCAAGTAAAAGTGTCTCCATTTTCAAAGGTGAGCAGCAGCGCTCATCTCTCTCTCTCTATCACGTGGAGTGGTATGCAAATGTATTCCTCTATCCCTTGCACAGCAAGTGTCCTGGAATGACGTACGAGAAGCTCAATGCACAGACAATGGGGAAATCCAGCAGCCTCAAAGCCAGACTGCTTCCTGACAGTTTAAATCATTCTTCTGCCAACAGGGAATATCTGGTGATGGAAAACTAGACGTCACTCTGTAAGGGACACCAGCTGTACGAGTGACAAAATAACTTGAACACACGTCCAATTTCAAGTCAATAAACACAATTTGGCGGTAGGAAAACTCACCCCCGTCCATCACAGCAGATGGCCTTGGCTTCGTGCAAGCTGGTCTGCAGCTCGGTCACCCTGCTGAGTTCCTGGCACATAAGCACACAGTACAAGTTAGTGCCGCATGGGGAAAGGAAGGCCAGATTTGTTTTTCCCCACAGCGTAATTTAAAACAAACCATTATCTACCTGTTTAAATGCGACAGAATATGTATGTTGAGCTTCTTTCGCACCGTACGTAACTCACTGATTATCATTCACAAGCGTGTGTTCAACTAAGTTTTAAATGCACAGCAGGGAGCAGTTATGGCAACTATGACACACAGCGTCACAGTACTCATGTGACTGGTCACGTGGTCAATTAATTGGAAGAAAAGATGACAAGGTAAAATATCCTTGGCGTATATTTAGTTTTCCCACACCTATATGGTAAAAATTCAGTAAAACCAAAATCCCCCTTAACAGGTTTTTATTTATTTTTGGTTGTCTGTCTGTGAGAGGGAATGAATAAAGAAAGTCTATGGTGGGAGATTCTTCAACCATGCCATAACATGGTTATTTTGAGGTCATAAATGTGCAGCCAATTGAAATACCAAATGCACTTGAAAAAGCCTGCTATTGACATAATGTGGTCAACTGCAATTCGTAGTCATGTACAGTTATTTCACGCTACTTACGACTTCTGGGCTCACCTGTACGTAGGCTGATTGCTTCTCCAGTATCAGGTCGGCAACCTTCTTGGACACCTGTTGGCAGGGCATTTATCATTAAAGCGGATGTGCACTGCAGAGGTAAAATAATTCACCCTCTAAGCAATTTCACATATTTTCACAATTCAGGATTACAATTTTATTCAAAATTGTTGTTTTTAAATCCTTGATATTAAGTTCGCTTGCTTGCTTGCTTGCGTGCTTGCGTGCTTGCTTGCTTGCTTACGACCGTGCAAATCTTTCGGTCGTTTTTTAACCCACTTCCCGTGATCCAATCGAGCTGACATTTTGCACACAGACTCATTGTGCGAGACAATTAATGTTCGTGAAAAATAATTTCCAAAATTTTACATTGTTTAGGGAAAACTAATTAAATATTTAATTACCAATTGCTTAATACTGGCAGACAATCATCTGACCCATAGGTGGCAGCCATCTCAAGCCAGAGGACGAGAGGACTCTAGCCGCCACGCATATAAAGGATTTATAGTGAAAAACTTTGTTTTTACGGGTTATACTTATTTACATTGTAGTGAATGCACTGAACCACTCGTCGCTGCAAGGGTCATTGATTAAAAAAGCAATTTGATGCATGTACCATTTGCCAAATAATTGATAATGATGACTTGATGCATCGTTGCACCTCTACTGTGTGGGAATAACATCAACTGAATAAACAAGACAACATCACGTGACTGAACAGCACCAAAAATCAATGGCAATATGTTCTGTATGTAATCTCTGCACTTCACACCAATGACTGCATGTGAACAGCTGAATGCCATTAATAAATAAGTAATATAAAAAAATGTTTTAACACGTTTTAATGAAATGTACCGTACTAGCAATGGAAGAACTCCACGATTCCAGAAAGTGGCCCCAAAGCTTTCCATAATATAAGGGACCGTGGTCATTTACAGCCAACGTCAGTTTACCGTGGACAATTAGAGCCAGGCCAAAACATAACATATAAAAAATAATGTTTTAAAATGTTTTTTTATGATAGAATATAGTATTGTCATCAGTATGACATAAGTATACCACGTTTGCAGTCGATACCACATTTGGAAGTGGGTAAAAATTGAGTTAGAAGATTTGAGGATACAACAACAGAGTGAGTTAATAAAAAGTGTGTAAAAATGAAACGATTTAAAGTACTGTACAGAAATAAAATGTTGATTTCATGCAGTGATAATTGAAGGTATCATTAAACACTGTACAATAATTAATAAATAAGTATACAAACGCTACATATGTATTACCTCTATGTACGGGTTCGCAGAAAGAATGGTATAATAAATCAATTATAAAGAAAAGCAACAAATTTAATTTAAACGCTCATTTAAATTTTACTGCTAGTGTTTCAAACTGCAGGTTTTTTCAATACATTACCTTTAGACGCTGCATATGATTTAACTGGACTCCTTGCTCACTCTGCTGGTTTAATTCTTGTACAAAATATACTTTATATTTGCAAATTAAATATAGGTGGACTTTGAATATCTGCTTATTCTTTACATCATCTCTGGATTAAACCAATGGTAGAGACATATTTGATTTGACCACAAATAAAAGAATGACTCCTAAAGGGATATCATTCATGCCAAGGGTTTATCAAATGCAGTTCTAGAAACACCACCACTGCAGCTTCCTACATGTAATAATGAACACATCCAGGTACAACTACAAGAATTACTTCACACATCAACCATGCTGACACAAACACAGCGCTTTGGCAAATCAGAATGGACAAATGGGATTTTGAGGGCTGGAGATAGACTGCACTGAGATAACAATGCACTGCTCAATGTGCCATCTTGGACGATGTATGTACGTGCCTGTCACTGCCGTTAGAGCGGCATATCATGGACAGCTTGCCTCATTAACATGAAACTATAAATAACCTAGAAGAGAGGTTACACAAGCACACCGTATCGTAATTTGCATGACTAATTCACATCTCACCCATGTTGAGCAGTACAACCTAGGGTACAGTATTAATTCGATACTCGAGTGTGTGTTCCAGATGGAATGCGCTCAGTAGCAAACTGTCCATTGGGATACAAATGTGTTAAGTCATTTTGCTAATTAAAAACAGAGCACACATTTGCATACAAGTGTGATGAAGTATTAATTTTGTAATAGTACTATTGTAAATTACTATGTTATTTTCATGACTGCCAAGAACAAAACTGCTTTGTTGCAATATCAAATAGAAAGTGAAAAGATATTGTTGGTCAGATGCTTTCAATTGGTTCAGTGGGTCTTGGGTTAATTGTATTCATGGGCAGGTATAATTTAAATTTATTATATTTTTTAAGCAGACATCTAGCCAATTTTGCTTGATTTAGAAAAAAATAAACTACTCATTGACACTTAATTTTTGCAATTACTAAAAGTAATTCAATAATAAATAAAGCACAAGCAGCAGCACGTAATATAGCAACTGAAATCAACCAGGGCTGTTTTGCAAGCTGTGCAGATAATCAATAAACAACAAACTTTCTCTGTGGTCAATACATCCAACACTATTCCACAATAAGCACTTTTCTCACCACCTTTGCTGGGCAAACATTTTATAGACAAGGTAATGTGAGCACTCTGACTGCCACTGCTGACAAAAATAAGCCAGAGCTTCCTCATTTGCTCGCTGCCATGTGCGCTGCTACAGGGAACGAAGCGGGAGAGGGCACGGAGGGGGGCCTCACCACTGCCTGCTGCCGCTTCAGCCTGTCCCGGTACTCCTCCAGCTCGGCCAGCTGCATAACCTCAGGCAGCTTCTGTTGGTCGAAGAGAATTGCATGGGCACGGCTCGGCCAAGCAGCAGTCATGGGGGCCAGTCGCAGGATGACGAGGTCAAAGGAATTGTGGAGTTGAGTGGTAAAATGGACTTTTATGCATTTAAAAAATAGTAAAAGAGGGATTTGATGAGGACAACAAAGTTCGCTAATTGTATGTGTATTTGCAAAGCAAAATATCCATGCTGAAAGCAACAAATATGGTAATCCACGGCATCTGCATGTGTATATTAACGTTATTATGACCTATAGTAAATTAAACACAAGCCCAAATGATGTGAATTAGTAAATAGTTGAACCATAAACTTCTAAGCAACTTACACTTTAATTCAATATTACAAAGACATCAGGAGTGGGTTATTGTTAGGTGTAAAATTGTTCCAACAAATAGATGGGCATTGATTTTTACGGCTGCTGTCCTTTGAAAATTTAAATACTACACCTACCTTTCTTGGTGTTCTTCAGGAATAAATGTCTCTAAATGTCACCTTCATGAACAATATCATAAGAGCACCCACACGAAATGCTTAAAAGCTATTGAAAAACGCCAGCAAAAAAAGTACGTGCCAATCGACTCAATGCAGACAAGCATTCACACTTAATTAACAGAACTGCTTGTGTCATGCAATAATCTATTTTTACCAGAATTCAACGAAGCATGTGTGTTTTGTCGGGTGATTGCTACAAGCTGACTGCATGAGTTCTGGACTATGCATGAAACCTAGTGGGGGTGCATGCTGAGGCATGCATCCCACTTGTGGAGACAATGCTGATTTATAAACACTATAAACATATCCACTGCTTGAAAATTTAAATATATAAATACGTATTACAGGTGACGTTTTGGGCAATGGTCCATATTCATAGCACATCTATTTAACTTTCAAGTCGTTTTTGTCCTGATTTACATTTGCTTCATCACTGTTATTTCATTGAATTTGTTTTGCTTTGTCATTTTTGTGAACCGGGCAACTCTTACAAAATATACTATTCGGTGAGTTCTCACCTGGTTAAACAAAATAAATCTCGACACATGAAACTCACAGTTTAACAGTACATAGCCCGTGTACCTCCAGCTCATATCGCACGGGGTCGAAGGCCTCATCGTCGAAGTAGACCTTCTCAATGCTGTCGATCACCTCCTGCTCTGCCTCGGGGTTACAAGGAGTATCTGGCAGCTCCTCCTGCCCACGTGCACGCACACACACAATGAAACATCATCATACGTCTTTATTTACCAGGAAAGTCTCACAGAGACTTGAGAATTTTTTTGAGGTTCTTGCATATGGATACCTGGTCAATTCTAATTCAGTAGTTCTATTCTTTGGATAGCCTTAAGAAAACACACATGATAGGACAACATTCAGAAACAAGTAGAGACAAGTCAGCAACTCGCTTGCTGTAAGGCCCACATGCAGTACATTGCTGTGTGTAGAGTCGCTGATTACGAAGACGCTGTGTGTAGAGTCGCTGAGTGTGAAGACGTTGGGTGCAAAGTCGCTGATTACGAAGACGCTGTGTGTAGAGTCGCTGAGTGTGAAGACGTTGGGTGCAAAGTCGCTGATTACGAAGACGCTGTGTGTAGAGTCGCTGAGTGTTAAGACGCTGGGTGCAAAGTCGCTGATTACGAAGACGCTGTGTGTAGAGTCGCTGAGTGTGAAGACGCTGGGTGCAAAGTCGCTGATTACGAAGACGCTGTGTGTAGAGTCGCTGAGTGTGAAGACGCTGGGTGCAAAGTCGCTGATTACGAAGACGCTGTGTGTAGAGTCGCTGAGTGTGAAGACGCTGGGTGCAAAGTCGCTGATTACGAAGACGCTGTGTGTAGAGTCGCTGAGTGTGAAGACGCTGGGTGCAAAGTCGCTGATTACGAAGACGCTGTGTGTAGAGTCGCTGAGTGTGAAGACGCTGTGTGCAAAGTCGCTGATTACGAAGACGCTGTGTGTAGAGTCGCTGAGTGTGAAGACGCTGGGTGCAAAGTCGCTGATTACGAAGACGCTGTGTGTAGAGTCGCTGAGTGTGAAGACGCTGGGTGCAAAGTCGCTGATTACGAAGACGCTGTGTGTAGAGTCGCTGAGTGTGAAGACGCTGGGTGCAAAGTCGCTGATTACGAAGACGCTGTGTGTAGAGTCGCTGAGTGTGAAGACGCTGGGTGCAAAGTCGCTGATTACGAAGACGCTGTGTGTAGAGTCGCTGAGTGTGAAGACGCTGGGTGCAAAGTCGCTGATTACGAAAACCCTGTGTGTAGAGTCGCTGAGTGTGAAGACGCTGTGTGCAAAGTCGCTGATTACGAAGACGCTGTGTGTAGAGTCGCTGAGTGCGAAGACGCTGTGTGCGGAGTCGCTGAGTGCAGAGCTGCTGTGTGCGGAGTCGCTGAGAGCAGAGCTGCTAAGTGCAGGATAAGTGAGGTGCAGAAGAGATAGGAGCGGGGAGAAGTTGAGTATATGTGACCGTACAGATAGTTATAGGTGTGCCTACAACTGGTGCAAGAGCAGGTGAAGAAAGTGTAAGCAGGTGACTTGTTACAACGTGTCTGTGTGAGTATTTTTTTAAGACGCTACATATGTACCACCCAACTCAGCATTGTATGTGTGGATGGCACTGTCTACATTGCAATGCAGATACTTACATACATGATCAAGTTACATGTTAACAATGTGGAGCGATGTCAAGACATGTTGTGTTGAAAAAATATATTTGTAATAACCTGTGATGAAGAGAATTCAACAAAACAGATATCGTATATTTTGTATTTTAATTTACCGTATTTTCCCGCATATAACCCGCGGGGTAGACCACTTTTTACAAACAAAACAAGGCCCTGCGGGGTATATGGAGGTGCAGGTTATCCCAAAAATATTTTACACGTGACATATCATAACTCGTTTAATTTTTTCATGGTAGGACTATCCACTATGCAACACTCACACCTTTGACTAAAGCACTGCTGAATAAACCACTCACACAAAAATTGCACATGTTATCACGTTTTAAATTATTCGAATCGTTTGTACAATGAAACGACAATGTTTGAAGTGGGCGCACTGTGTTTACTGTAATACTTTCAGTGGCTGTAGGGGGGTGCGAAAGTTTCAGCTGAGGCTATGGATTTCACAATGGGGAGGGCTTTAACAAGCGTCTACCAGACTCGAATCATAATTGCAGAGTCCCTTAGGCCGCTGCTATTGGCTGAGCACTATACAGTCGCGACCACGAGCTTTGTTTCAAACTTCCAATGGCTTTGTTGCCAGGAGGCAATGGCGTTACCGTAGTGCCGCTATTGTCTGCAATCCAAGGTTTTACTGTAAATATATCATGCAAACCATTAAAGCTACAAAAGAAAATACTTTTTGGAGAATGTTGCAAGCATAAGCAGTCATGATCATATAGTTTCCCAGGTGGTTATGGATGGTGATATGACTGATTTGGGGAAAAACTCATGCACGTGTACCCATGTAGTGTATACCACCATGTATGAGCGTATACTGTACTTAACTATACTCCGAAGGCCTCATTACAATTGGCTGCACAGCAGGGGTTTTTCAGCATTCATACTGGTAGGAGCTTACATGCAGCCTCAAGCTCAGAGTTGCATGCTTGATACTTTTCCTGCATTCCTAGTTTGCAGGTTACAGAGCAATAGTAATTTGACCTTTTCTTACAGCAAATTTAAAGAATTCGTAAACTCGTTTTCTTGGTGTTCTAGGTTTTTTTGCTTTGATAAACACCATTTGAGTAAATATTTAACATCTGTTACGATTGACACATGTGTAACCAATGCGTTTCTATAGGGAACACACAACCTTTCAGTGAATAAGCTGGTTCATTTGCAAGTGGGGGAAAAAATGATTATAAAAGCAGTATGTCACATTAATGCATCAAAACAGGTACCATGCAGGCTTCTGTAAAAATGCTCTGAAGATGCACATTCATGGCTGTACATTACTCTTTGAAATGCAAATACAAAACACAATTCAGCCAATTTAAGGCTTTGATTAAAAGGTAATTGTTAAGTTCGCAATCCAATCTGAGAGAGGATAAGGATTGGATGGATGATGTGCAGCCATGGGGGAAATCTTATTTCACGAACTTGATAAAAGATTTTACAAATCACAATGGCAGAAAGTAAACTAAGCATACTGCACGTTCAATAAAATCGCTTCGTTGACTGTTAAATGGAAATACACAAGATGAAGCCAACTCCTCCACCATAATAGGGAAAAGTGTTGCTTCGGTGGGTCTGTTAATCTTACAAATCAAAGTAGACCTTTGATATTAAATGTATATATTAAAAATCATTTGCCGTTTTCTAAGATGAAAATGTGCATGCCCTTAAATGAATGCAGAGGCTTTTACTCCAACAAAAATAAATAAAGTTGTGTTTTTTCAGGAGAGCTGGACACTCACTAACCTTGTGTGGAGTCTTTGGAGGTTCATGTTGTAATGCACTTTCGCTCAAATTCTCAGAAAAACTCTTGGAGACCTTATTAGAAAAAAAAAATAAACAATACATGTTATAGATTTTGAACAGGCTTTGCACAATCTCATAACACAAATATAAAAAAATATTACATAAAACTAAATATTTTCTCACGTAGATATGGAGGGTGTGCAGCACATGGTGTGGTAAGCGAATCAGTCGTGTGTACGTTCTCTCAGCTGTCGGGGACCTACAGATTTCTTCAGTTCTTTCAGGCTAAGTTCTATTCAAATTCTAAAAGACGTCAAAACCATTTGACATTCATTTGTGAACTCGACAAGAGTACGACTGCATGTTTCTGTTAGAGATGTATGTGGTAAGATGGACTGTTGTATGGCTCAAATGCACATCTCTGGCCAGGGAAACGTATTAAAGAAACAAGAAAATATTTTTCTATTTAAAGCTTTCGTGACTGCAGGATTCATATTCTTGGTTCTTTCGGTAAAGTCACGTAGAAGATAAATAATAAAATAATAAAAATAAAACATAACAAAATAAAATTCTCAAGACGTTTCGGCGACAACGCAAGTAGCCGTCCTCAGGTGAAGAACAGAGCTGTCGGAAAGACAGCCGAAAAGTCGTGAGAATTTTATTTTATTATGTTTTATTTGTATTTTTCCCTTCTACGTGACTTTACCGAAAGAACCAAGAATGTTGTAAAACCTAGCTTTCACAATTGCTTAATCACCTTCCCTGAAAACAAAAGCTAGCGTAACCTCCGTAATTCATCCAACAGGTGTGTGCACTTAACTGTACGAATATACCACATGACAGAATTCATGTGTAATTGCTGTCATAACGTAACGCTGTTAGTAGAAGGCTTATAGTAGAAATTCTAGAAAAACTACAATGATACCTTACTTTTTGGTTCTTTCCGTAAAGTCACGTTGAAAGAAAATGTATTAAATAATAGAATACGACGTTTCGATTGCAACACAAGCAATCATCATCAGGTACGAATGAATGAGAAAAAAAAACCTAGTAAACTTAGAAATGTAATGCAATACAACACAGAGTCGGCTAACATAACAGTCAACAACCCTACCTGGTTGATTACGTTCTTCCAAAGAGTGCTAAATTTGAGAGCGAGACAAAACACAGACACGGAGACACACAGACAGACACATAAGCAGAGAGAGACAACACAGACACACAGAGAGAGACACAACATAGACACACAGAGACTCAATGCCTCCACGTCGAGGCCCCAAACAGAGAGGGGTGGGTCCACTGGCGGCCAATTACTAATAACGTACCCGCATAGTGGTACTCATATTGCCTACCTAAAAAAAAAGACACATAAGCAGAGAGCGACAACACAGAGACACAGAGAGAGAGAAAACTAACTTCCCGTAGAGGCGGTTTAAACGTGATTTGGAGCCAAATCAAGTTTAAACCACCTCTACGCGGAGGATTTAAGTTAGCGGTCTCTCTCTCTCTCTGTTGTCTCTCTCTGCTTATGTGTCTGTCTATGTATCTCCGTGTCTGTGTTTGTCTCTCTCTCAAATTTAGCACTCTTTGGAAGAACGTAATCAACCGGGTAGGGTGTTGACTGTTGTTAGCCGACTCTCTGTGTTGTATTGCATTACATTTCTAAATTGACTAGGTTTTTTGTATCATTCATTCGTACCTGTTGATGATTGCTTGTGTTGTAATCGAAACGTCGTATTCTATTATTTAATTACATTTCTTTCTACGTGACTTTACCGAAAGAACCAAAAAGTAATTCTTGCAGTCACGAAAGCTCCAAATCAAGTTTTTTTACAATGATACCGTTTCACTTAACCACTCTATAAAATCAGTTGCTGGAATTGGTTGAATTGTCTGGCATGGAAGTAAAAATGTAGGTCCACAGAGGAAATATTCATGAAAACGTGTCCATTGGTCGAGCTTTCAGTTGTAGAAAAATAACATCGATTTTATTGAGTGCAGCTGTTTGAGGACTTATGTTGGCAGATTTCCCCACTGGCTCCAGATGATTCATTTTATAAATGGTGGCCTTATCTCCTGCATACATTCAAGAAAGTTGGAGGGCCCTGACAGCTGAAGGTGCAATAGACATGAATGATAAGCTCACCACCCTCTACTGCAAACACTCGAATGTGGGCTCTATAGAAAGACAACTTTATTACACAGCGCAATGCCCATTTAATATGCTTTGCATGTATACCATTTGCTGCCTACATAGTCCAAATCAACATGAAATACGGTATTAATCAGAATGTCTTCACTTTCCAATGGAGTTTCAATAGTGCTTTAATAGAACATTAACTCAATAATAATTAGAATAATTTAAGTATTTTATAAATCCACTCCTGGATGAAGGAGTTTTCGTCATGAGGGTTTGACCAAACTTCACCATGCTGATCAGTGTGGGTTGGTTAAGTGTGAAATGCAAAAACTGGTTCACGTATCAATCACCACTGATGTTAACAATGGCTAGAAATCGATTTCAGGTGGGAATTCGGTTCAGAGCGCAGTGCGCTCACCACTGTGCAAGGGCAGTTATTGAAGGCAGACCAGGATAAATATTATGAAATAACGAGGTGAATGACAGCAGGCTGGAGCATTATGTAAAGCTGAACCTAATCATGAAAAGCGCAACTTCAATGTACACCAGGACGAAAGTTTTGAATCAGTGCTATCTTTTATGGCAGAAGATTAATTCATAATCAACGTTTTTGGGTTTAGATCGCGTTATTTATAAATGTGTCGTAACCCTCCACCACCCGACACGGCCAATCAGTAAAAAAGTGTCACGTTGACAAAGGACAAATAGTTCACTGCTTTAGCCCACCGGTGTGTTGAAGCCACAACATTTACAATTTGAGTACGACGTTTCGCTGGTAATTGCATCCAGCATCATCGGGCAATTCGCCAGAATGGTGGTCGCGAAAGCCTACGTGTTAAACAGAAGATTCATATGCATGGTCACAAGTGTAGCACCGAGGCTTTGTCTCTTTCACACTGTTCATAATGAAAAACTTGCCCTTTCTAACTGTATTAACTCACCGATTTACAAACAATTAAGGACGTTTTGTCACGCACAAAATATTTAATATAAATGAACACACAGCCAACTTAAATCGTGAACATTAGTTCCAAGAGTGCAGATTTCAGGCCATGGTTAAAAAAGGAACAAAGCACAAAGGATTTGTCAAATCACCAACTCCAAAATATTACAAACGGACACATGTTTAAGTCATTAGCCTACTCATAGCTATGTCTACAAATCGATAAGCTTGAAGACACTTCACATTTTCATCAAAAATAAGAATAAATTAAATGATTTGAAACTTGCCAGAATTGCAATGTCCATATTTGTAGAGCATTCGCAAAAAAGTAGAAAGAAAGGAATTTCCAAATCTATATATATAAAATCGTTCATGTCTGTCTGTCTGTGTGTGTGTGTGTGGACTTTGGCCCATACGCACTTTCATTGGACGGCGGTTGCCCCTGGCAACAGCTAGCCACGCCTTCGCCGCTTTCATTGGACCTGGCAACGGCTAGCCACGCCTTCGCCAATGGCTGCAGTTTCATTGGACGGCGGTTGCCCCTGCCAACGGCTAGCCACGCCTTCGCCACTTTCATAAGCTCCGTATTTAATTAAATAATAGCCATTACACAGTATTGTTGGAGCGCTAGGGGGGGGGGGGAAGGAACGCCACCCGTACCCTGCCTTTTCCAAGCCGACAATTTTAGGCGAGGCCGCAGGCTTTGCACGCTACTAGGCCTCGACACCCACCACGCCACTCTGAGGTAAATTCATCAAAGTTTTTCCTACTCTTCACTACACCCCCACCACAATGTGTGCTATTAATATTACTTTTAAACCCAACGCGCCAACAATCGATTACTTTAATGTTCACTGTACAAATACTCATTAAGCTGGGTGAGCGTACTGCCAGTCTATCATGTACACTGTAGCCTGCTTATTAAGCTCGGTGAGCGTACTGCCACTCTATCATGTACACTCTAGCCTGCTTATCAAGCTGAGTGCGTGTACTGGCAGTCTATAATGTGGACTCTTGCCTGGTTATTATAATCGATTCTTTATATGTTCTTTGTACAAACAGTCATTAAGCTGCTTGAGCGACCCCAGTTCGATTCCAACTCACGCCCACCACCGCTGACGATTATTTGAAACGGACCTGGCCCTCCCCTAGGTCCACTCAGCCTCAAAAGCGTAACTGCTGTCGTGTGTGAACATCGTCACTGGGGAGACAAAGGCGGCGGGGCATCGTGGATCCAAGTCCCGGGCGAAGCCGGGTCATGTGTATGTGTGTTTGTGTTTATGTGTATGTCTGTGTGTCTCTATGTATGTGTGTATGTATGTGTATGTATGTGTTTGTGTGTATGTGTGTGTGTATGTATGTGGGTTTTTTTTTATGTCTTTATGTGTATGTCTGCGTGTCTCTATGTATGTGTGTATGTACGTGTGTGCATGTGTTTGTGTGTATGTATGTGTGTGTCTATGTATGTGTGTGTATGTGTTTCTGTGTATGTATGTGTGTGTATGTATGTGTGTTACGTGTCTGTCTGTGTGTCTGCATGTATGTGTGTGTGTGTATTGTGTATGTGTTTGTGTGCATGTATGTGTGTGTTTGTGTGTATGTGTATGTCTGTGTGTTTGTATGTGTGTGTATGTGTGTGTATGTGTTTGTGTGTATGTGTGTGTATGTATGTGTGTGTATGTGTTTGTATGTGTTTGTGTGTTTACGCTCGCATTACACAAATGTGTTGCTGGTCTAAGGCGTTCCTCGCACAGCATTGCCGCTTTATTATTTCAGTCGTTTACTGCCTTACGCACCCTGAAAGTCGTGTGTGTCTGCAGCAAGCGCGTGTATGTGTACCTATGGACGCGCGCGCGTGTGTTGTGTAGGGGGAACGGTAGTGTAGTGCTTAGCGTGCTGTCTGTGTCTGTGTGTGTGTCTGTGTGTGTGTCTGTGTGTGTGCGTGTGTGGTGTGTGAGGAGCGGTAGTGTAGTGCTTAGCGTGCTGTCT